AGAGAGAGAGAGAGAGAGAGAGAGAGAGAGAGAGAGAGAGAGAGAGATTTCCAAGCAGGCTGTGTGCTGTTGGTGCAGAGCAAGATGTGGGGCTTGAACTCACAAACTGTGAGAACATGACCTGAGCTGAAATCAAGAGTGGGATGCTTAACTGACTTAGCTACCCAGGCATCCCAGTAATTTAAACTTTAAATCAGGCACAGGGGTTGACAAACTATGGCCCATGGGCCAAACCTGGCCTGCTGCCTGTTTTGTTTGGTTTTGTTTTGTTTTATAAAGTTTTATTAGGTAACAGGAATATTCATCTTTTAATGTATTAATTGTACCTACTTTTGTGTCATAACAACAGAATTGGCTAGTTGTGACAAAAGGCTTTATGGCCTGAAAAGCCTAAAATAATTATTACCTGGCCTTTACAGGAAAAAAAAAAAGTGCTGATCCCTGATCTTGCCAGGGCAGCAAGGCTTAAAGATTAACACTAGTATACTTTTCCTGAATCCAAGTAACTGGGAAAATGTTTTGAAAGTGGCACGCTTTGTCTTCTGGCATCAGTTCAGCCATTAGCTGACTCCGTGACCTTGTGTGAAACCCTTAGCTTCCCTGTTTCTATTTTCTCATATAGAAAATCAGGGAATTGGTCATGTGGCCTGCCTCACTTTGCTTCTTCTTAATTATAACCAGATAGTAAATCTTCAGTGAGCAAAAAATACTGCAATGTATTGTTCCCCCCCAAAATCCCCAAAAAACAAATAGCATAGTTGTAGAAAAATATAATTTTCCCCCATGGGCCTATCTCTTATTTTATTTATTTATTTATTTATTTATTTGTTTGTTTGTTTATTTTTAACGTTTATTTATTTTTGAGACAGAGAGAGACAGAGCATGAACGGGGGAGGGTCAGAGAGAGGGAGACACAGAATCCAAAGCAGGCTTCAGGCTCTGAGCTGTCAACACAGAGCCTAACGCAGGGCTCGAACTCACGGACCGCGAGATCATGACCTGAGCCGAAGTCGGCCGCTTAACCGACTGAGCCACCCAGGCGCCCCTCTATCTCTTATTTTAATAGAATAAAAGTTACATTTTTTTTTCCGAATTGAAATCTTGCTTACTCTGGAATTAAATGAGATCTAAAATCCTTTCTTTTCTTTTAATATTAGGGTTCTACAAAATCAAGTATGAAGTGGGGGTAATTGTATGAGATGCACTCTTAGACAGAAGTCAGCTTCTGTGACAGAATTTTAGTAAGCCAACTTCTTATCCATTTTGGCCACTGTGGGAGTCAGAATCTTTAGATGGTGTCAGAGAGGCCATCTGGGTCTGCTATCCATAATAATTCGAAGAGCTTAACTCAGGGTTTGATGAAGGAACAGACGAATGTATTAAATAAAGCTACAACTCCACCGGGAGTGGCAGATGGAAAAGATGTCCTCAATGTTTTGTAGAGCTGCTGCTCAAGAAGTAGAGTCTCTTTTCCTAATCCTTGAATCTTGCTTTGATCAGTAGAATGTGGGTAAAGTGGTTTGCAAAGTCTGCATCTTAGGCCTCAAAAGCCTTGCAGCTTTGGGTTTTGCTGTCTTAGAATATTTCCAAAGACCACCGTGCAAGGAAACTGGTCCAGTATACTGGAGGATGAGAGGCCACATGGAGGAGAACCAAGGTTGCCCAGGGTCCTAGCGCCATGAGAGTGTGGCTGAGGAAAAAGTTGTGGTCCAATGTGGATCACTCTTTGTGTGCTCCACATTTCTCTAGTCCCGTACCAGTTGCCCAAAAATCTCTGCTTCAGGCTTTATTTTATATAAATGATAGAAAGGTTTTTACTATTCCCTTTTGCATGAGCCCAAATTATAGTCTTTAATTACAGAATGTTTATCAATTGATTTCTATGGGAATCTTTGCTCTCATCCCATGGCTGTGTGAAATGCCAGCTATATGCTTTGGTTCAGATGTGGCTTGCTGCAGTTCTCTGCATCTCTAACATGACCACATGGTCCTCTGTCCCCTTTGCAAGATCAGCACACCCTTCACTGTTGTGATGGGAAGGGTGTTCATACCCTTGGAGGGGAGAATAATTTCCTGCTTATTGTCTACGCTGGAAAAAACATCTCCTATTGGGCTAAGAATGTCACATAGATTTCATTTTGTCTACTAACAGTATCAGGAAACATTGCCAGCCCACATCTAGGCTTACTATAACTGATAGGCAATGTCCTTCCTGGAAAGGAAAAGCACCCTGTATGTACCAAGTATTTCCTACCATTAACCATGATGCTACTTTCTGTAGAAACAATTACACAGTTCTTTTCTTCTAGTAGTAGCACTAGGGAATTCCTATTTAATCACTTTGTACCTAGTAGGCATCGTTTACAAAGTTATATTAGCCAGCCTAGATAGAATGTAATGAAATTCACTAATAACTGACATCATAGAGATGGTAATCTGATAAAAAGTGCAGAGGTTATTATTTTGGTCATTCTTATTTATGCAATTTCTTTAATAATCCTGTATAATAGTTGCTTAGTTATCTAGTCCATGGCAATATTTTTATAATCACAAATAATTTAAATCTATAAAATAAAGCTACAACAGTAAAATTGCAAAAGGCTGCAAGAGTTGAATCGTGAAGTGATATACTGCAGGGTTTGGCAAACTATGGCCAGTAGCCAGCGAGCCAAATCCATCCTGCCACGTGTTTCTGTAAATAAAGTTTTACTGGGATGCAGCCAGGTCCATATGTCTCCTCTGGTCTATGGCTGGTTATGCACTAGAGTGCCAGGATCCAGTCGTGGAGGTGGAGACCAGCAGAGTTAAGTAGTCGTGGTAGAGACCTTACAGCCTGCAAAACCTGAGACATTTACTATCTGACCTATTACATAAAAAGTTTTCCAACCCCTGGTGAGTTGAAACAGTTGAGAATCTAACAGTTATTGACCACTTTCATATACAGGGAACAGTGGTGGACAAAGCGCTTTGAAGGGCTCTTTTCTATCCTAAAAAAAAAAAAAAAAAAAAGACTGTAGCAGAAGCAGTGTTTTTTAATTCTGTCTGAACATTAAACTCAGCTGGGTAGAGTTGTTAAAATTACTAATACCAGGACATAACCTGTGTGGGACATGGGTATTGTATGTTTTTGAAAGCTGCCTAGCTGAATCTATTGTGCAGCAATGTTACAAAGCATTGATCAAGGTTCTTATTTTACACTTCAGCTCCTGTTCTTCTAGGGGTTAGATAGTGTAGCTATCCAGTTTGGTTTTTAGTGACTCAAACGTGGTAAAAAGTAAATCTGAAATAGCTTAACAAAATAAAAAATAAAAATTTCAAGGAATGTTGGGTGTTAATTCAGACTGGGTGAACCTCTAAAAGTTCTAAGCCAAAAGAATTTTTACTGGCCTAAGATCCTGGTTTGCAAGGTATCATCCTGCCACAAATATCCAGATTTAAAATATATTGGCAGGCTTACAAAAAAGTCACTGAAGTCTTTTTGTGTGTGTGTGTGTGTGTGTGCCTTACTTTCTTACCACTCTCAAACCATCTACTTCAGAAAATAGAACTTCAGATAGCTATATTCTGTTCTGCTGTAAGAATTTTTTAATAAAGATTTTAGTTAAGTTGATTTATTTATTTTGAGAGAGAGAGAGTGGGGGAGGGGCAGAGGGAGAGGGAGAGAGAGAATCCCAAGCAGGTTTCTCACTGTCAGCACAGAGTCCGGCACAGGGCTTGACTTTACAAACCGTGAGATCATGACCTGAGCCAAAATCAAGAGTCAGATGCTCAATCGACTGAGCCACCCAGGTGCCCTTTGTTCTAAGAATGTTTTTTTAACATTGGAATACTTAGAAAGTTTGGGGGAAATTGGGTAAAATACAAGAAGAGTAATTCTGGCTAGCTAAGACGACTTTTGCTAGTTCAACTCGTGGCACATTATAGTGGCTATTCCAGAAATAGTGACTCAGGAAGCTCTGTCACAGCTCTGGTTTTAAGTATGATGAGGGTGTATAGTCTTATTGTCCTGTCTAGTGCATCCCTGATTTTTTATGGGTTTAAATAATAATGTGAGTAAGTCACATACCAAGAGTTTCCACAGATATCTGAAAGTAAGACTTGTGTGAATATTTGGAATATATAGGCAGTAGCTATTTATAGATGAAGAAACTCACACGTTAGGATGTTTATCCAAAATATATATCTCGAGAACTTCCTAGACAGGTTAGTGCACCAGTAGTAAAAATTATACATTTATAATTTAGTATCTTACCAACCCAACAGC